CCCGCCATAAATTTCTTCATTACCTCTACCAATTTTTCCGTTCCTCCTGTTTCTTCGGAGATTTTTTCTCTGTCTTTTTTAAACGTGACGTCATCGTACATTCCTATCCGTGTTTCGTCGTTTCTCGTATTCTCTTCGCGCTTTCGTAGCGATTCGGCGCGGCACGGTAATGCAACACGGTATACCCAGGGTAACGCAAGGGGTAAGTCGAAGAGGGTGCGCGCGTTCTCGTTGCACGCGACATTCTTTCAAGTTCTTAAGTTCCGTTCACACCGAAAACCACGGATTCTGGTAGAAAAATACAACGTGGCTCGCTGCTCGAGGCACGTACGCGCTTCGTGAGAGAACTCGGCCGATTCGTACGATAACGACGGTGTACGAGCTGCTTCCGAATTGCTGCTTTCGCTTGGACACCGGCCGGGCATCGTCGTGAAACTGAAATGAGAAGTGGAACGAGGCTGTCGAGCATGGGACTCGCGCGTCACGTCCACGGAATTCCACGCGATTTCCAAGACAGATCGCACTTCTGATCCTCAATGCAAACTGCTTCACATAGTAAAGACCAATCGGCTACGCGTCGACGAGGCTAAGTATTCTGTCGGCGGGGAATCGGAATGCGACGCGCGCCAATCCGTCCACCGAACATTGTCGAGGAAATGAGAAACGTTAATCGAGCGTTTCGAAGCGTTTATCGGTGACGTACGATAAATTTCAATGATCGTTTCGAATCGTGTTCGACGGTCATCCTACCGTCGAAACGGCCGGCACCATCGCGCGCATTTCGTTCTTATCAATGGCGGCCTCTCCCTGCTGACAATTATTTTTCCCTTAATGCCGCCTCTAAATATCTCCGAGGTCGCTTTATGTCCTCGCGTTAGAACTTGGCGCGCAACCACTCCACGATACGATTCCAGATTCGAGCGTAAACCGACGAACAAGATTCCCCGAGTGAAATTTATTAGCTAGCTGTAAATTATGGCGCGGTACACCTGTGCTTTACCACGTTCGGACTTGTCTCGGGGCTGATCACTCCGAAGAGTCTCTTTATAGCCCCCGACTTATACTTCCGGCCGACTCGGAACCCCTTGCCCGTTTTGATATCAGTGCTCCCATCCTCTCGCTACTTTCGAATAGCAGCCAAGAAAGCGGGTTCGTTATCAGAATAATCTTGACGTTTCAACGTAGTCCATAGGATACGTAACACCTTTACCACTTTAATCCTCGCCAGCTGCAACGATGCCTTTTAATTCCTTCGGGTCCAGATCCGATCGCGTCCGTATTAATTAGGCTTGATTAACAGCCGACGATGAAGGACCTCCGCAGAGACGACT